CATACTTCCATGTATGCACATCACTTCAAATCACTCTCTCCTCTCCTCCCTCTCACTCTCGGCCGAACACAACACACACACACTCACAAAATCCATCCCATTCTCTCTAGATCACTCAAGACCAATCCTTCCTCCCCACTCCAAAAATCTCGAAAATTAGGAGCTTTCAAGAGGATCTTGCAAGTTAGTCATCATCTAAGGTAAGGTTTTGCTTGGATCTATGACTTGTATTCCTTGTTTTATCAAAATCCCTTCTTAATCCATGCAAAAATCGTGATCTTGCACTCTAGAAAACTCCATAAACTCGAAAACTTCATCAAGGAGTGCAAAGGCCAAAAATCACTTCATTTCTTCAATTCTTTCTTCAAAAACCGAATCAACACCCAAGGTGAGTTTCATACCCCCTTATTTTCGGTTTTTATAAGTTTTTGTAGGGGAGAATACAAGCAAAGGTGTAGATCCATCATTATGTGTATGTTGTGGTTGACTTCTATGCTTATATGTATGTTTTGTATGATTTTGATGCTAGATCTAGTATGAAATGCTAAAAACCGAGACATGTATTTTATTATAGCATAAAATATACTACTACATGCAAAGTATACTAAGAAAAATACCCAAATGGCTTGACAACACTTAATTTGGGCTAAAAACTCATTTTTTTGACATAAAATGTTGAAAATACAAAGTTGAAGGGCCTAAAATGAAATATTTCGAAATCTGATGGGTGAGATGAGTCAAAACAGTTTACATATGTATTTTCTGAAAATATACTATTTGGAGGGTTAAAAACATAAATTCCAAGCTTATTGGGCTAAAGATGACATTTTCGGCCCAATGAGGCCCAATATGCGAAATTTTCTGTTTTGGAGGACCAAAACTGCATTTCTCTGTAAAACAGTGGACTATAAGTGTTCTATGTACTTTTCAAAGGTTTAAAATGCTTTTCAAATTTAAAAAGGACCAAAGTTGCAAATTTTTTCCAAATTGGGCCAAAAATGTAAAAATTGCGAAAAAGAGGGGTTATAACCGAGAAAACTGCAATTTCAAGGACATAAGCTGTTTTCTATGAAAAATATGCTGGAAAATACTTATTTCAATAATTTTTGGTATTAAAATGTCAAGAAAATTGATTTAAGGACCAAACCGGAAAGTTTTTAAATAAAGGGGTGAAAAGTTTAAATTTTACAAACAAGGAGGGACTGAAAACAGAAAATTCTCAAGGCTAGTTCAATACATGCAATTTGACCAAATGATGGTACCACGCCTATCGACGAAATACAATACATTACAATACCAAAAGTCGTTGTCAAACGAATTGGTTCGGTCTCGAACCAATAAAAATCCGAAACCACTAACACGACGACACTATGACATTACGACATTACGATTCATAACTAATAACGATTGGGAAGTCACTATACATGCGAGTGTGCACAGACGTCTACGCACCATCTTTGGGCCCCAAAGCTAGCCCAATGACCTGATCTTAAGGCCCGAAGACCTCTCTCTTACGAAGTGTTGGGTTTTACCGATCCGACATAACGTAAAAGGACTTTCAATGGCAAACATGCTGCTGGTCCCCAAGGGTCCTTCAGTGCTGCTAGTAAAGTCTGTAACTCACGATTGCGGGTTGGGCTTCGGGCCCTTCGCAATTGCAATGGTCTTGAACGACGCGGGGAAATACCGAGGGTTTTGCACCTTCTCTTCTTCCCTCCGGTCGTGGGACTACACAAGTCCGGGAGGATTGAGTTGTGTGAAGAATTACAAGTGACGCCTAAGGGATCGCTTGTAAGGTTGTCGATTGGACGTTTTCATTAACGCACGTCACAACACTTCACCACCCACTGTATTCTCAATGCCTCCGGAACTCAACGATTTCCTCTAACGCAACGAAACAACGGTACACAAACTAAGTAAAGCAAAGTGATAGGAAAACGTCGGGTTTTCCTAGGGTTTTCAACAAGTACAATTATGAATTACCGGTCGAATTTCACAACTCTTACGCTTACATCTATAGAATCCAAACAAGCATACTCATGGATCATCACATATTTTTACACTATTCTATTTTTAGAAAATATCGGATTTTCTGATGGTTTTCAAACAATACATTGGATTTCAAACACTACTTATGAACTCACCAACATTTCATATGTTGACGTTTTCAAAATACTTGTATTCTCAGGTAACAGATAAGGTGAAGGATGATTTGTACTCTATGACGTTTTGCTGTGGTTTAAGTAGTGTCAAACAGTTATTTTTGAGAATGTAATGTTTTGAACAATGTAATGAATGTAAACGCTACCAGTTGTATCATTCCAAATGTTGGTGATGTATAATGTTATGTTTCATGTATATGCATTGTGATGGTATTCAATGAGTCACGATAGCCCTCGGACGTTTCCGCCGTCTGGTTCGGGGGTGTGACAACACAGAACAAGAATTTTAAGCAATCAAATGATTAATTTAAGCATGCTAGGTAAAATCAATCAACACAAACATATCACCAACAGATAAAGTCAAATCTAATGCATTAAAACCATGAGTTCCATCTTCATCTAGCTAATAGAAGCAACTAGATTTAGTTGGACATCCTAACAGGTAAACAAACAAAAACTATAATCAAATACATGTTTAAGTGTACCAATCTATAAACCAAATTATGAATTTCTTCTTCCTTGGTGTTAAAACCAACTTCCATATCTTCTTTCCCTCTGAAACTCGTCACTAGGAACCCTTCTAGGTCAGCAAAAAGTCTCCCAATCGTAATGGGCAAAGATATTTATATACTCTTCAAATTTACCGTTCACGTCGTGAGAATTTAAAACTCACGTCGTGAACTCGAAGTAATCGTGATCGGCAAGGATTCCTTCACCAGGATGCTTATCTTCTAACTCTTTCTACTCACATCGTGAACCATCACCTGTTCACGTTGTGAGTATGCCTTTTTTTGGGTGTTTTTCTTGTCTTTCAAGCCTTCAACCTCCAAAGTTCCACTCTTTAATGCTTTTAGTCATCTTTCTTCAAAATGTCTTCTTTTTTGCTACAAAATATAATTTACCCATTATAAGTACCATTATTCTATTCAACTAACCAAAATATATATAAAAATGTACTTAAATATCGCCTAAAAATATGTATAAATATGGCAATATCAAAATACCCCACACTTAGGCTTTGCTTGCCCTCAAGCAAATCTACTCATTTAAACTCAAACCTTCATCACTAGCATTACATAAAACAATCCAATTCCAGTTCAGCCATTATGCCAAGACCTTAACGCATGGATTTGTGTCTAAAATTTTTTCTAAGTAACCCCCCTCAATTCTAAATACTTACAATCCTCATAAACATTTGCTCACTTCTTTTGAACAATGCTCATTTTATGCAACCTTCCGAATCCATCCTCAGAAATCCTACTTAACCTCAAAGTATTTTTGTAAAGCTACCCAAGCATACATAAACTAGAGAATTACAACTTTTAGAAGATACCACAACTTGGAGCTCTTGAATTCTTCTTTCTTTGATGTTTGATCTTTTACTTCTTTGAATTCACTTTCTTCATGATTTTTGGCATCTTCAACTTTTAACTTTGAAAATTTTGATCTTTTTTGTTCTTCAAACTTGATACTTTTATGCTCCAAAATTCTTCCATTTCCTTACTTTTGGTAATTTCTCTCTCTCTCTCTCTCTATATATATATATATAATATATATATATATATATATATATATATATATATATATATATATATATATATATATCTTTTACACGTATCTCACTTTTTTTTTATATCACACAAACCTACATGCTTAAGCAGGGGCGCTTAACTTCAACCTTTATTGATTAAGACATATCTTTCCTGGATACATTTCAGGTTTAGGCTGCTAAACATATTGTATTCCTCAAACTAAGCAGGGTTATGTAAATATGTTTGTGAGTATGTGTGTGTGTGTGTATATATATATATATATATATATATATATATATATATATACCTTTTTTAAGTCCCCCCACTCATCATTTGTTAAGTTAAAATTATTTGTTTGTGGATTGTAAAGGTTTCCAGTTTTGTTTTTTTAAGTATAACCATCCTGTGTATTTGGCTTTAAGGTTATCATAGGCGTTTTTTAATTGTCGTTGATTCAAATTCACGCCATACTTTTCCTTAATAGTTGCTCCTAACTTGTGCCATAATTGTTTGTGCAAACTCAAACCTTTTCTACGCACGGTTTGCACTTCTTCAATACAAGTTTGCAATAAGCATTTTGTTTGCTCATTGGTCCACGTATGTTTATCTCGTATTGCTAACAACAAAAGAAAATATAGAATACATACTTTATCTACAAAGATTAATCATATTTCAACATAATTAACAAATAAGTTTAGCATATTGAACAACAATACATCATGAATGAACAAAAAAAAAAAACCATATAAGCAAAAATTATACAACACAATCAACAAATAAGTTTAACAATTTAAGCACAAACTTGCATATAAACATAAACTTGATCTCCATTCAAGAAATACAAGTGATAACGATTCAATAATTAAGTTAAAAAAAACCATTTCAGCAAAGACTTTAACACATTCAACAAAGATTTATGATTTCAACATATAAACTTGCATATAAATTGGTCCTGATGTCAAAAAAAATTAACTGAAAATCGGTCCTTATGTCAAAAAAATTGGATAGAAAAGGGTTAAACTGATGAAACCGAAGGCAACAAAGATTTGAGCATATAAGTTCATACAGTCAGTCCTGATGTCAAAAAAATTGGACAGAAAAGGGTTAAGTTGATGAAACCGAGGGCAACAAAGATTTGAGCATATAAATTCATACAATTGGTGATGTCAAAAAATATGAGCATATAAATTCATACAATCGGTACTCAAAATGCATAAGAAATCAGAAAATTGATACTCAAATTCATACAATCGGTACTCAAATGCATAAGAAATCAGAAAAAAGAAAAAAGAAAAAAACTTACCTGATGAAACCGAAGGCAACAAAGATCACACGTGAAGACGATGGTAACAGCAGTGGCGACCGACGACCGGCGATGGAGGGGCAACGGAGGCTGGAGTCGATCTTCAACAGGTTGATCAATGGGAAGGATGCGAGAAGAAGGAGAATGAACGAGAAGATGGCTGGAGCGGCGTTATTTATTATTATTATTATTATTATTATTATTTGTTTAGGGCGTAGGGCGTTTTTTTAATGAGGGTATAAGAGGTTAGAAGAGTTAAGCCCAATGTTGTGTGGGGAAGAGGACGGGAAGATGTTTTTGAGCCCGAACTCTGCAGAAAAACAAACTGCTGCGAACTTAAAAGTGTTGCGCGTGTACTGCGTCATGCAGCACTAAAAGGTTAGAAGAGCTTTTTAAAAAAAACAAACACAACTTAAATCCTGACCATTTTCTTACATTTAATTACAACCATTTTGAAAAGAAGAGGGATTACATTCACTTTTGTTATTATTTGGGCCATGAACATCTAAAATCTTCAAATTAAAATATGATCTACGAGGCATCATAGCCAATGTTCTAAATGGTGTTGAAGCAGGACTTAGCGGTAAGATCAAGCCTCAAGCCATGTCAAGCATCGATGAGTCATGTCGTTTTTCAAGAAGTGATAGTTTTATATACATTTAAAAAAATCACATAATTATTGAATTATATCGAATATATCAAGTTTTTAAAAGTGTTATATTAACACTTAATATAAAAAAGCTAACAAAAACAAAAACTCAATTGTTTTAAGTCTGATTAGAAAAAAAAAAAATTGCACCTTGAAAAAGAATCGCATCATAACGTGTTAAGATGCGTATTAACACGTTATTTGGATGTCACGCTTAACAAACATGTATTACGTTTTCGTAACGCCAATAATAGGTCTCACGCGAACCAGGTGACAAAAAGTATTACTTAAGTACTACAGGGACCATTTTTGTAATTCAATGTATATTTTCTTATACAAATAGAAAGTTCAACTATGTTAAGATTGAAAAGACCAAAAAAAACCCAAAAAGAGGCAGCGAACTAGAGGCGTCGAGGGGCGCCGCCGGCATGCCCAACTGAGCTCATCATCCCGATCGATCACTTTGCCAATGCTGTTTTGTGTAGTATCAAGTTACTGGTACTTCTTTCCATCAATTTAATTATGCATTAATCTCCTTTCAACAGTTTCTAGTAAATTTAAACCATAAACCATTTTTTTTTTTCGATTTGATTCGGAAGCCCTTCAATACGCTTGATTTCAAGCTATCAAGTATTATTTCGGTTTCATTGTCAATTGCTTTCAAAATAGTAGAAATCGTGTTACATGATTGAGGTGGATAGATTTTGGGCAGACACCATTGATACATGCGCTATTTGTATTTTGTAACTGCCTTTCAAGCTATCAAGTATTATCAAGTATTATTTCGATTTCATTGTCATGTGTAGAAACCTTTAAGCAGAAACCACATCTCTTTATCGATCTGCACATTCAACTAAACTCACCAATGCTCCTTGTAGGTTCTCATATAATTGGGTGTCAGAATTTGGCTTTCATCAATTGGGATTTGAGTGAAAGGTGTTGATTTGGATTCGAATATGATGGCTGTAACATGGATCAGCGCTATCTTGGTTGGAGCAGGCTGCCTTGCTTTGGGATTCTTCATTGGTGCACGAAAACCTGGTCGCAAATTTCTTTTAACCAAGGCAGCTGAAATTGTCGATGGAAGCATAAAAGGCCAGACTAAAGGCAAAGGCAAAGGCAAACCACCCCTTGAGATTGAAAAGCTGGCTGAGATTATTGAAGATTTTAAGATGGTAAGCTTCTTTATGTAACATGTTAACAATATATATATATATATATATATATATATATATATATATATATATATATATATATATATATATATGTTACAAGCTATAATACGTGGAAATTTCTTGCTTTGTGCAGGTGTTGGTTGTAAGAAATGACCTAAAGATGGGGAAAGGGAAGATTGCTGCTCAGTGCAGGTATCTATTACTTCAATGGTGGAACTAGAAGCCTCTGTAAAATGATATAATATTATATGGTTGTTGTCTTAGTTGAGTATAATTATGGTGGTCTGCAGCCATGCAACTTTGGGACTCTACAAGAAGATTCTTCATCGGGCACCTAAAGCTTTAAACAGGTACTTCTGTAAACCTTTTCTGAAAGTGTTCTTGAGTGTTGGTTATGGTAGGTTTACTTTATGCAAATTTGCAGGTGGGAGATGTGTGGGCAGGTTAAAGTAGTGGTGAAAATCGAAAGTGAAGATGATATGTTGGTTTTACAGGTTAAGTTTTATTGCCATGAATCATGATCTTGTTTGTATCTTGATTTCTAGGCATCATCTTCTTATCTTCTTATATGTATATATGGAACTCTTTTGTTTTGCAGGAAAAAGCAAAGTCAATGGCCATACCAACTCATATTGTCATTGATGCAGGGCGAACACAGATAGCACCAAGTCAGCTTCCTCGTCTTTTAGTATATAACTTTTCCTGCATTTTCTTTCTAGATTAAATTCTGATTTCCTTTATTTTATTTTATTTTTTTTTCCAGATTCAAGGACAGTGATGGCTGTTCTTGGTAAGTTCATATTCCTTTCATGTTTGTTCTTATTTCCTTAACAATTCATTAAAAAAAAATGTTCTTCAAGTGTGCATATATACACATGCAGGACCAGCGGATATGGTTGATGATGTAACCGGTGGATTGAAGCTTCTGTAAGCAGATAATGTAGACAAACAAGTGGGTTTAAAGCTTCAATATCAACTTACATTTCAAGAAAATGATTTGCAAATCTGTTTTAACTTTTTACCTTTTTCTATCCCCTTTTAAAGCATGTCATACTAGTGAAGATGATGATGATGATAAGGAAAACCTCCATTTAGCACAATTTGTTGTCATACCACGTTTACAATTTTGAATGCATTATTTTACACTTGAAAGTAGAATTGATTGCTAAAACGGAGAATTATACAAGATATATTGCTAAAATATAAAAAAAAAATATAAAACGTAACCAAATTATACGATTAAACATATCAAGCAACTACTTGTGTTTTTTTTTTTTTCATATACCAGCTCCTAAACCAATAAAATCCATGAAAAAAAAAACAGAAAATTCATAACAATAAAATCCATAAATCCTGCATAATCTACAGCCCAACACTTGATTGAAGCAACAAGACCTGATGATGTGGTGTTCTTGTTCAACTAGTAGTAGGGTGTGTAGAAGTAGGCGGTGGTTCTTGATGAGTAGTCCTGGTTGCCGCCTGTTCTTCCACCGCCACCTTCTCCATGGTCTTCTGTCCCACTTCTTCGGCGGCTTTCGTCACCCTGCTGAAAGCTCCAGCGACCCAGGCGGTCCCAGTCAGCACATACCGGTTCTTCATAATTGCAGATCCCGCAACACTTACAGTCTGCTCTGCAGTCGCAAAGGCCGTTTTTGTCTTTTCAGACACCTGAAACTTCTGATCCATCTCTTTCACTTTCTCATTCACTAATGTTGTCCCCAGGTTGATTTTCTCAGTTAGACCAATCTTCTGATCTATTGTAGCTGCTTTTGCTGCAGCTGTTGATGTAAACTGGACTTTCTCATCAAACAATTTGGCTTTGTTTACTGCATCTTTTCCCAGTATGAAACCTTTTGCCAACATACTGCTCACAACATCTTCTGCTTTCTGAACAGCAGATTCAGCACCTCCCACACCTTGCCCCCCTGTTGCCTAAATTATGAACCACATTATATCAAATATCAGATAATATTAACATTTACACGCATTCTTGATGATAAAATAACAAAAAGAACATACGGTGTTTTGTTGATCTGAAAGTGTAGTTGTAAAAGGAGGGAGAGTGTACTCTGGTGCAAGAACAATGGTAACAGATTGGTCAACTATGGTTGCTCCCTGAAATCATCAAAACCAGAAGGTGGAAGAGTGTACTCTTATGAATTGTAAGAATTGTGTACAAGATAATCAAGATTTGTATATACCGAGAGTAGAACTGCAGTCTCTGCACCTTGAGGCTCCTTGAAAGTGACGAATGCATTTTGAGCTCGCTCATTCTCACTGAAATGGTGTTTATGACATGGATTTTCTTTAGAATAATTTATAGAAAAAGAAAAACCTATGTTTAAAAACCCTAACAAAGTGGGAAATAACCTTTTCATCTCAATATATTCAATATCACCAGAAAACGAAAAGAATTCCTTGATGTCTTGCTCGGAAGCACTTAAGGAAACATTGATGACCTTCACAGTTCTTACCTGTCAAGATAAGAATAGACTCAGATCGACATGATACAAAAATAAAATAAAGAATAGAACTGTTTACATGGCTGATGCAATATACTCAAATTGACATAGTTGTTTTATGCATAGGCATGTATAGAAGCTTTTCCACTGATCCAAATAGGAAATGAAGATCAATAGATCAATGAATCAATGATACATGTGCATTCAAATAGCATCAGTATGTTGGTTCCCTATGAAACTAAAGCCATATGGCATCAAATTCCTACAGTTGATTACAGTATTGTTAAAGCACATAAACTATGATAAAAATAGCTATCTGAATATTGGTTTTTTGTATGGTATTTATGAAGTTGTAGCCATGAACAACATAAACTCTGTACTCTTGAAAACTATCATATATTACTCGTCCAACAAAAGCACTTTCATTCAAGTACAGAAAAGACCCTCTGCTTAATAAAATGGATGAATCCCAGAACATGAAGAGGGGATATGAAAATATGACACGGAAACGGGAGAATAAGCGTGGCGAAGATAAAATTTCTTGTGATTACATACGATCCAGGCTGAGTAACTAAGAAACAGTGAAAGATGCATCCACGGGCGATTAAGAAACAAATATAAACAAAATCACTTGATTCATAGAACAAGAAATTGAATCAATTATCAAATAAAGACATGACTTTGTGTGGAAATGAATGAAAGAGAAGAAAGATCAGGAAAGCACTAACCGACATGGATTCAGCGGCCATGTGACGACGGTGATGATGATAGAGGTGTGGTTTATTGGGGGAAAAGAGGTTATCGGAAGGAGGTTGATGTCAGTGTCAGTAACAGCAATCAGATTTTGTAGACTAGGTTCCGGGTCGAGTAGATCTATTTGTAACACAATAACGGGTTGGATGGATCCGTTTGTAATCTGATAACGGGTTGGGTGGATCCGTTTGTAATCTGATAACGGGTTGGATAGACCCGTTTATAACTAACGTCGTCTTATGGAAAAAAGGCTAATTTTATTTAGATTAAGAGTAAATTACACGAATGGTCCCTATGGTTTGAGGTAATTTGCGTTCTTGGTCCCTAAGTGGACAGCTGCACGTGACCTAATTTTTTTTATTATATATTTTTATTTAAAAATAAAAAATTATAATAATGATAAAGGCCTTATTTTTCTCGTTCGTCCTGAACCTTTTGAGAAAATTAACAGTAAATATTTGGATTTGATAGAATTAGTCTTTTACTTTTTCAAAATTGATAAATGTGGAACCCTTTTTGGTTTTCTCTATAGAATTGCTACTTGGAGTTGGGCCTTGTATTTGCATTGCCATCACGTTTGCTTACCGGTTACTCACACATGTTATGTTCCTTGCACTGATTTATGGCCTTCACCGCTTAATTGATTTGATCCTAAGGTGATTTTTCGTTCGCCTTTTTCCATACCTCTTTCTCTCTAGCACTCTTCTCCTCTACCACCACATCTGTTAGATTTAATAAACCTTCCGATAATCCAAAAGGTCTCAACATCATAGATTTCGGGCATCATTATAAATCGAAAGTGTTGAATTTAATTATTTATCGTCTTTTGTGGTTTATGATTAGATTACATAGTTTGATATCATCAGCTCAAGTATGCTTTTTCATTCCCACCCCGATAAAGTACCAACTATCGTTTTAGGTTTTGATTTTTATTAGGTTCTTCCTTTGACTTCACTCGCCGAATTCCAACTCCAGGTGAAAAGGTTCACTTCTTTTTCCTCGATGCATCGTTTCCATGTAATGGTAAATCTGAGCTTGAACAGATTTTTTATTCGCCTTATTGCAGATGGTTCCAGTTCAATAAAGTTAGATTATCTGATATTTGTTCATAATAGTTCTATATGGAACCGATTTTAGGGCTTTTGATTTTTACTTTGGAATAACTCTAGGATTTTATGGAGTATGAGAATTTCGATTAGTGCCTTGAATATATCGAAGATTTAATGATTAAACATCAGGTCAATAAGGTTAAATTATCGACGAGCTTGTTGTCTGATGACTTTCCAAATTGGGTGCCCAAGGGGGATCTTCCTCAACTTTAAGCCAACTTATGAGACCTATTTCCTCAATATCGAAATAAGGGGAACCTTCTAAACCTCGAATACAAGGACTGACATTTTCTTTCGGCTCTCCCAATCAGGGCTCAAATATGTTATGCCTATGTAAACTTCCTTCAGATCTTCCACTTGATGTTGTGATTAGATAAAGCCCGAAAACGCACCATATTCTCAGATGAAATCTCAGGCCTGGGGTATAAGGGACGCTTAGTGGTTTTCCCTAACGCCATGGGAAATGGAAAGGCTGATAAATCCACGAAGAAGAACTCATGTTTCTAATATTTGATGGAATCAAATAAATCGTGACAGATGTCCATGACCACCTGTCTAATTGAAAAGGTTATCCAGTCTCTAATTGAAGTAGTACAATAAATATAGTGAAAATTTTCGACATCTGGTTCAAACCCTAAAGCTTTGCTCAACATAAGAAAACACATAAGCTTTCGAAATCCGTTAGGGCTAATATGAGAAAGGCGCACCTCTTCGATGAAAAGAGTAGGCGGGGAAATGTAACATCAAAAGAAGGAATTGCAGTGTAATATCATGTTTTGAGAAGTTTCTTATTTTGTGATTGTGGACAATAAATTGATAAAGTAAAGGCCTTGGGCTTCAAAGGAATAGGTTTAGACCCTATTAGATATTGATAATATTGGTTATACGATCCAAACCCTTGTTTTATGTTTTTGGAGTTAAAGGGTAAAACGGGTGTTTCAGACTTCTTTCTTGGAATAAGGAATTTAGTTCGGTATGTTTTAAGTTAAAAGTAATTAGATAGGATTGTGGGGGTCCTTACTATCATGAGCCTCCACCCCGTTGAGCCTCTAACTCGAAACTCTATCCTCCTATAAATTATTTTGAGCACTGGTATCATTTATGAGCTTATTTCTCCATTAGAAGGTGGGATCTTGAAGAACAAGGTGGTGGAAAAGTGTATGGAAGAAGGATTCAAGCATAGATCCAACAAAATTACATCATTTCTGGACCTTTGTGAGTAAAAAGCTTCAAACTTGCTCATTAGTTTCATAGATCTTGCTAATTTTCATATATGTCACTTTTTGTTCATTTTCATGCATAAAGTTTAGATCTTTAAAGTTTGTGACTGTAACACCTGGTTCCTGGTATGTAAATCTTAATTGAGTATTTTCCTTTTTAAGCCTTGGACTCGGCGAGTCATAGGTCCGACTCGCCGAGTAGGGACGTGTGACATCCCCATTTTCACGGCCAGAAAAGACCGATTTTTTTGTTTATGCTTTATAAAAATCAGAGTTCTTCTTTTAATAAAAATGTTGCGGAATTTGTTCCCAGAAAAACATGATAAATACGTTATTAAAACATTTTTGAAGAAACATATTTTATTCATTTCAAAACGTTTGGGATGTCATCGTTAATACATAAACATAAGCATAAACAGAACTTACATTTATTTACACTAGTGATCTACATCTCTTTAAATCTCTCAGTGTAAAGTGACTTCGTATCAACACCTGTGTTATAAATAAACTGAGTGGGTCAGGTTGGGAAACCTGGTAAGTACATAGGGTTTTCAACCCACAATAGTATAATTATTATGTTTAAACAATGAAACAATCAACCCAATTACCCATCCCCATTATCTTCTTTAGTC